TACATAAATTGTTATAAAGAAAAGTAGAGCGTCTAATTTTTTAAATAATTTAAATATTTTTTTTTATTTTTAATGTTTCCTATAAGCCATTAATTGCAAACTAAGATTTTATTTCTAATTTATCATCAAAATCAACATTAGAGCACGTCAGTTTTCTTTCATATTTTTTACAAATTTCTTGAAAAATCTTTGATACGGTTTTCTGATAAGTTTAAGTTATAGTAGGTACATGGGTGGCCAACCGAACGCAGTAGAATCTATATTTATCACACAGACATAACGCTATTAAAATAGTAAAATATTAACAATTAAAATTTATACATATTCATATATTCATCTTTCATCCAATGTATAAAGTCATATAAATCAATCGTTAGGACAAATCCAAACTCATTAATATAAAGTAATACTATATTAAAAATAGTAATGGACTTCTTTACAAGAATATCTAATAAATATGTATGTCTCGGTTACGGCCACCCGATTGCGTCAGGAATGATCGACGCAATTTTAGCAAGGTTTATATACGAATTTTGGGGATGGTCAGTAGTGGAGTAGAAAATTTATTATTATATCAAATTAGAGTCCAATCGACTTGGCTATTGAGAATTGAGATTAATTATATTATAATTGTACTTAGATCTTATAAGCGTTAGAATCTGAAAACGTTCGTGCTTAAAACAAAAGCACAAAAATGCGGTAAGCCGAGAAAAAAGGAAAAAAAGATAGTATAGAATAGATTTATTTAATCTAATCGAAATCGTAATATACGGATTCCACGTGGGAAATGGACGTATAACGTTTGGAGCAAAAGTGGACAATGAATGGTATCACAAATTGTTTCTCAGTAAATATTTATTTATACATATATTCTTTTAAAAAATTATCCTAGTTAAGGCATTTAGTAAATTTTTGTAATCCAGCACCTAATATTAGTGTTAGTTCCTATTACATTTTTTTGATACTACAGTACAGACCCGGGTTTTTTTTTGCGGATAAATATACATTAACAAGAAATGCTTATTAAATTAAGAAATGATTGTGAATATAATCATATGTCCGGAACTTGCAAAGTTATTTTGAATATATTATAGGTAACCTTAAGTAGATTTATAATTCAAATGCGGTTTTCGTTTAAATGTAATTTACAAATCATGGATTTAATCACACACGTTTCTTCCTTTAAACAATTAATGTAATAAAGACATTACTGCGACATTCTGTATAGAACCAAGGCTCTTACTAAAGCAACAAAGAATGACTAGTGTATTGAGGATCTATGCACATTAATCCAATTTGGATTAATTTATATTATCAACTTGGTACTATATAAAAATTCAACGCACTGGCGGCTCAATGATACAAAGAATCCGCAATATGCAGATTCGAGATAAGCCTTCAGGACAGAAGATTATTATAACGGATTTTTTAATAGCCAAAGTACCGCAAGATAGCTTTATCTTACCATGTAACGGCCTACAAACTGTAAAGGCAATGACTATAGTGAACACAGAAAGAACGATTATGTTATTGAACTATTTAAAAATTTAATAAAATACAGATCTAAAAATAATTATGTTGGACCATCAAAATAATTATTACTTCAATTGAACGCTAGTTACTAAAATATCGAAACTTTTTGTAGCATTATATTATCATCGTGCTTTTAACGATTTATATATTAATTTTAATGATCCAACATAATTATTTTCAGAACTATATTTAGTTAAATATGTAGATACTTTCACAAAACTGTTTTTTCTGTAATTATTTTCATCAAATATTTTTACTTCGAGAAACTATAAAAGTTTTAGATACATATCCACAATTTCGTTATAAATACAAGTATTTGTTAAGCTCCAAAAAAAAAAGGAAAAAACTTTTTGTAGATGCACAGTTTAATTTAAAATAATAAGATTGGAATTAAGACTGTTTTATATAAGTATATCGTCTAAATATAAGAAGCGCCATTTAATAGTCAAAATTAGATGTTAAACTAATACGTATACGTATTCTTATTTAAATGAATTTATTTCAGAAATATGATTGCGCGCCGTTACTGTCGGATTTCAACGCCTGGTAATATTTTTCGCAAAAATTTATCACAGTTTTTTTCAAAATTAAATTTGAGGGGATTTTATTAATTTTAGATGAATTGCGTTAGAAGTTCGACAGTAACGGCGCGTAATCGTATTTCTAAAATAAATTCATTTAAATGAAAATACGTATACGTATTAATTCAACATCTAACTTTGATCATCAATCAGTGGCGCTTTTCGTATTTAGTTAATTTACAATATTTTGCATTCTGTAAAATTTTTATTACGTATATAGAACATGAAGTTTCCCATGTAAAGTCTCATAATAATCTCATAATAGTCATATTTTTTATGATAATTAATTCAAGGGATTGTTATCAGTTGAATATTGACATTTGCAGTTATTAAGTTATTTCATTTATCTTCGCAACTATTATTCATATGCTGATTTGTGTACAAAAAGTATACAAAAAGTAACTGTATAATATAAGTAATAGGAAAACAAAAAGTGAAAAGTGATCATAATTGACTAAAATATTTAGAAAATACAATTTGGAAAGAAATAGAAACTTATTTAAGATGTTTGAAAAAAAATATTACAAAATTATGATAATTATTATTGAATTTTCATTTGTCATCCTTAAATTTTAAATATCTCGTATGTATATTTCGTTTTTGCGAGGAAATCAGGAGAGGTCGTGGTTATTAATACTATTAGCATACTTAAGCTGGTGTATTAATGAGACATAGAATGTTCGATGCGCACGAACACATACACACATTGACACTTGCAAAAGTATGCGTTTTGCGATCGCGCGAGGATCGCGCCGCGATCTCTAGAGATATGTTTGTTGTTTTCAAATAAAAATAAAATATATTTGTGTTACTGTAAATGTAATACTACATCGTATAACTCATTGCTTCCTATTCCTTT